AGCGGCCCAAAATTTCACTGTCGTAAATGATGGTGCAGAGTCCCCATACACAGAATCCAACTCATCTTTGATTTGCGTAGGCGTATTGCCTTTCAAAAACAAATATTTAATGACAGCTCGATACTCGATTTTGTCCATTTTCACAAAAACACTCACATCAACTTACTCAAACGACTGTTACATAACAACTGCGAGTCCAAAATGGCTGAAACTTCGGTGAGTAACTGTCAACAGATGAACAACGAAATTCACTAGCTTTTATTTACAAGTGCTGCTATCTTCACGTTGAGGTCGGAAACTTTTCAGACCACCCTCGTAGCTTTATTCTAACTTATTGCATCAGTTCAGGAAGTTCAGTTAAAAGGAACAGACCTAATGTATTCGACCTTCATGCTTTCGATCGAGGTATATTAATCCATCTTGGCAGGGGCATTTACACTTTTGTCAAACACAAAAAATTTAGCAACTGACATCCTGCAGTCGGTTCTGATCAAATTCTCATGTTGTTTGTCAGATAATCCGATTAAGCCAGATATGTATCGGTCAAATTTTATGAGATATAAAAGCTAACCAAAAATATCCGCTTGTTAAAACTGGAATTGTTCTCTCAGTGTGAAAGATTTTCGCGCGCTGACCCAAACATTTGCATAAGTTTGCATAGCGATATTAACGATATTTTAAGCGGAAAAAGAGAGAGATGGACACTCGTGCACATATTTGTGTTTTTGAAACGAATACTTTGGCGAAGTTGGCAGAAGAAGAAGATAATGATGCTGATGATGATAATGAGGAAATCCGCGTATATTTTGGAATACGTGACCGCACGTTGAGAAAAAACTGCCGTCGGGGAAAACCTTAGTGATAAGTTACGATCGCGGATGAATTACATTCAAGGCCGACTCCTATCAGAAATTCTTCATCAAAATCCCATAAACATGCAAGAAACGTACATTGCCTTTTTTATTGTACGAACCAAAGCATGATGAAGGCTATCACAGTTGCAACAAGTGTCGCCATCTACACTTGCTCTTGAAGCATGATCCGTTAGAGCCTAATGTATTTCAAGTCAGTCGCATTGTACGTGTGGAACGGTCGAAAAACACAGAATCTGATTGACTTCTGAACCAAGAAAACGTCGGCCTCTGTTTTTACCGAAACTGTGCCCATTCTATTTCATTTGATAAATCTAACTCACCAGAGACTCATCCGCTTATTCAATCAGCTTGGTGCCATACATCTTACACAGTTGATATCTCGATATCTCGTTTCAGGACCCGCATTAATCCGCCCTTTGCGCGTACTGCTCCGGAGTCCGACTCCGTATCTCTCACGAGTCCTCATAAAATGTACAAGAAACGCGCGTATTTCTAAAGACAGACGACTCACTTGTAGACTTGGCTGATCATCATTATACGGGAAAGATGTTCTATTTTTTTTTCTTTTCTTTCTTTGCGCACGAAGCTGAGAGTGAAGAATATTGCAGTCGATCTCGAGAAGGCCCAACGAGTGAGAACCTCCGCACAAGAACACGTTACGTTAACTTAAGAATAAACTCATGTCACAGAGAAATCCGTGATGAAGGTTATGAAGAGATCCTTTATGAAGGTCCTTTCTTTACGTTACGAATTTCTTTGTGCGTTGACATAAGCTTATTCCTAAGTTAATGTAACGTGTTACGGATGTTCATGTGCGGAGGCCCTGAGTCGGGACGAGCGTGACGTATATGGACTCGCGAATACGTGGCTCACGTCACGCAAAGAGAGAAAGAGAGAGAGAGAGAGAGAGAGAGAGGAAGAGAAAGAGAGAGATCACGATAGCTGTCAAACGCGGTTGCATATACGTATGTATGGTATCGTCGCGCCAATACGATGTCTCATCTTCCGAGCGGCTTGATTAAGTGCGAAGTAGCAAGAAAGCGCAGGCTACGTGTCCGAACGGCGCGAAACGACACTGATACCGACACTCGCGATAACAATCTATCGCGTTACGAATCTCCGCGCGAGCACGTAGGGGCGATATAATGGCGATAGGCCACCTGGCCGAATTGATCGCGCGAGCGATTCGCAAAAGGAAGAGCCACCTTTTTAAATTCGACGCGACGCCGCGGATCTCGTAATAACGCGCCGGACGGACGAACGAACAGACAAACGGACGAGCGGAATTGCGAGTGCGCGGGAGGAATGCGAACACTCAGAAAAATGCATGTCACAGCGAAAATTACACTAAAAAATGGCCTCGCGATGACGTAGCGAAAATTATCTGGACATCTCGAAAATTATCGAGAGATTAGCTGAGATGAGTAAAAAAAATGACAGCTTGACAGATTTTACATTTAAAATTTTTTTCTCGTTTCTGTCACGCATTGAGCAATACTTCTATTTATTTTTGCACGTGCTTTTATTGCGTAAAAGCATTTTTAATTCTATACAATCAATACGACGTAAATACTTTGCAGAAAAATGTCAGTATTTCCATTGGGAAAGCTCCAGTATCCCCTCAAGGCCAGTCACACTTATAAAAGTGACTGTGGTAGACAAACGAATGTACAACCCTAAATTTGTTAGCAGATATTGCGAGAGTGCTGCTGCCATAAATTCCATGTATTACAAATTACAATTTTCTGCCAGACACAGAAAGCAGCGTGATCGATTTTAATTATGACACTTAGAATTCTATTTGGATAAGTAAAATACATGTTTTTGGCTCAATCGAACACGAGATGAAAGACGCGGACGTGGCTGCCGGTTACAGGCGAACTATTCCGAGAGAGAGATGGTGGAGGTGCTGTTTGATCGAGTCGACGGCCAGGAGGTAGCCGTGGCCCCCGAGTCGGATTGTATACCGGAATCGCCAACCGAATGCTCGCCGAAACGTGAGAACTCGCCGGTCAACGAGAAGCTGTCGTCGGTCCAGGAGTTCTACAACGGCCAATCCGTCTTCATCACCGGCGGCACCGGCTTCATGGGCAAGCTGCTGATCGAGAAGCTGCTCAGGGCGTGTCCGGGAATCGCAACCATCTACCTGCTGGTGCGCCCGAAGAAAGGCAAGGACGTTCACCAACGCACCGAGGAGATCTTTGACGATCCGGTGAGTCCCGCGCGAAAGAAAGAGAACGCGGGAAATCGCGCCGTCGCCATCGATGACTCCGGTCTGGAGACGGTGGAATGAAAACAGAGAATTAAGCCGCCGAGGGGACTTTAACGCTTTCACTGGCTGCTCATTACGTATGCCGTATGGTGCTATTCGTAATACGCGCATCATGCGAGACACGTGAGCGACCAACTATTAAGCCATCACGCACACTGTCAATCCAAGTGTGTTATTTCGGCTTAGTCTCTTTTGCTTCCTAATGTTTTATGTTTCCTACCGTTTCAAGAGTCACGTCATTTAACACGCGTCTTAACGTATTAAATTGGAATCTGCACGTCTTCTTGAACGCACCTGTCGAATAACGTGATTTAAAGCGGCAAAAAATGTATTTTGTCGGTGAAGTTTTGACGGCATCCCCTTAATTCTTAGAACAATTAAGATTTAATTCTGCTTTGGTTATCAGCCGACTGTCTTTCTTACTTTTACGCGCTCGCGTTTCTGTTTTTTCGTTCGATAAAATGTCGCTTCGGCATTAGCGTTTGCAGTAACGTTTTGAATGTCGACAGCGAATGAAATAACGACGATGAATGCATAACTACTCGTCCAAGTATTATTAATTATCTTAATTATCGTCTCACAATTTGCGCAGCTATTTTTAAAGCTGAAGGACGATCAGCCCAAGTTCCGGCATCAGATCGTTGCGATCGCAGGCGACTGCAGCCAACCGAGTCTCGGTATGTCCTCGCAGGATCGGGACATCCTCATCCGGGAAGTGTCGATCGTCTTCCACGTGGCGGCCACGGTCAGATTCGACGAGAAACTGAAACTAGCGATGGCCATTAACGTGAGGAGCGCCAGGGACATTCTGCATCTCTGCAGAGAGATCACAAATTTGAAGGTATCGAGGTGTACGAGAGAAAGAGAGAAAAAGAGAAAAAAAGAGAGACAGAAAAAGAGAAAGAGAGAGAAAGCGATTCTATATACTCTAAGAAAAAGAAGCATGGTATAATAGCATCTATTCAGTGAATACCAGCCAACAGTAACATTACATCAATGCTATAATTTCTCACTCAACAATGTAACTGCTGCGTAACACTCGCATTATATTACATTTACATTGTTGAGTAGGAAATTATAACATTGACGTTATGTCATTGACAGTTTGTGTTCACTGTATATACAAAGTATATCCGGTAACTCACATTTATCTCTATACGTGCTTAACACAAAATTGTCTGCAGCGTAGCATTATTTCACGTCACGTGTGTGATTGTCCAAATGTTCGCAGTCATTCGTGCACGTATCGACCGCGTACGCAAACTGTCCGCAAGCTGTAATCGAGGAGAAGTTTTACGACCCGCCATTCGATTCCGACAAATTGATGGCGGTAATGGAGTGCATGGACGACAAGTTGGTCGAAGACATCACTCCGCAGTACGTGAACCTCTCACCACTCGAACATTTTCTCACACGCGCGAGGGGATCGGTGAAAGACTCAGCTGGTTCCTTCCTTGGTTTCAGATTGTTAGGGAAATGGCCGAACACCTACGCCTACACGAAAGCCATAGCCGAGCATGCGATCAAGAAGCACTCCGAGGACCTGCCGGTCGGCATTTTTCGTCCTGCTATCGGTGAGATTTTTCTTTGTTCCAACTCGCACGGATATGTATCCAACTGTACTTCAAATGGTCGGGCGATATCAATTGTTTTGATAATTCATGATCACGACGCGTCCCCGATTCAATTCAACGTGGACGCAGTTTACATAAGAGGAAGAAAAGAATCGCGAAATAACGCGTTCTCCGAGACCTGAGAACTTGCTACCCAAGTTTTTCAGTTAAATCGCATGTGATGTTATATTTGTAATCGTGATTCTACCAGAGAATTCACATCTAAGTTCAAACCCAAGGCCTGTATTAATGATCGTTACTTAAAACTTGCCTCACGTGGTACATTCAGGCCTGAATTCAAAGTCGTATCTGACCCTTTTACTGGAATCATATAATATCATGTGGCATCGTACATCTGCAAATCAACTGGAAAACATACATCTGATTCAAATCCAAATATCTCAAGACAAGTTTCAAATAACGACCATTGATGTGGATCCTAATACAAGAGTCCTGAGCGACCGTTTTCAAGTTGGCCGTCTTCCCGCTTACAGTAGTCTCCACGTACCGGGAACCGGTGCGGGGTTGGATCGACAATATGTACGGGCCAACGGGGGTGGCCGCTGGCGCCGGCACCGGGTTGCTACGATCGATCCACTGCGATGGCTCCGTGCACGCGAACGTGGTGCCTGCCGATTTAACAGTGAACGCGCTAATCTTGTGTGCGTGGGACACAGCGAACATTCACAGGTACACAGTTCTTTTTCAATCTGGACGATCGAAATGCCCTCTGTCCGCTCGAAGGTCGAAAGGCGGCTACGCCATTAGAATGTTTAAGAACAGCAATCCTTCTTTGGATGCCCGAAAGAGTCATTTTGACTCCTCGCGGTTTCCTCATTGCCATCAGTGATGACTTCTGAACAATGCTAACAACATAATTTGCAAAATATAGATATCCTATATTGCAAATGAATTACAACAATTTCCAGAATTTTTCCAAATTTATAATTCCTTATACTGAGAAAAAAATGATTAATCTAATCAAAATTATAGTTACTTTTTTTACCCCAACTCCATATTTTTCGATTATTCCAATACGAATGTGATTGTAGTAATATGCGTATAAAGTTATGATCACTAATATAATAGTAGGATTCTCTATCGACAGTTTCCTCCGTATTACCGTATTAATATAAGCTTGCTTGCATTATCTACCCTGACCACCCGTTCTTCGTGACGCCATAACTCACGAAAACTTGAGTCTCGCAGAAAAGGAAGTATTCCTTTTCGATTCAAGCTTAATATAATGAATGGCGCTAAGTCGGAAGGATGTCTTCCTGTGATAACGAAGAAGCAATCGTAGAACGCAGAACATCGTGGTTTCAGACTGAACAATAAGACAAGCGGCGAGATTCCGATTTACAATTACGTCTCGACCGACAATCCAATCACTTACGATCAGCTGAAGGAGATGTCGGCCAAGTACGGCCTCGAGATTCCCTCCAACCGGGCGATTTGGTATTACAGTTTCCGCAATAACAAGTACAAGATAGTCCATCTGTTCTTCGTGTACTTCATGCACCTGCTGCCGGCTCTGTTAGTCGACACCGCCACCATTTGCATGGGCAGACAACCCAAGTAGGTGTGACCGTCAACATTTTTCTTGATCAGAATTTTCAGAGAATTATTTATTTATTTATTCACTTATTTACGAGAATGCATCTGGAAATCTTATTAACTTGAACAGAATTCTGATAGCTTCAACCGAATTTCTGATTCGTCCATATTTCACCAAATATATTTGATCAATTGAACCAAATATTTTTCCATGTAAAATAAAATAAATCGTGAGATCATGCAGTTACGTTACAAAGACCCATTTATTTGCTACGTTTCTTTGTATCCTTTTACTTGACGTTATTACGTCGTATTACGTCGTTTCTTATTATTAATTCAAGAAAGCAAAAATAAGACGCACGGGTTAATAGATGCACTGAGAAAAAAAATTATTGATCTACGCGTGAAAAACTTTTGATTAACTTAACTAAACTTTTTTCGCACGATTGAAATTATAGTTACTTTTGCCTGGACCATATTTCTTGGTTGCTCTAACACGAAAGTGATACCATGCGTATAAGATTATTATCAGTAACATTTAATGAAAAAAAAATGAGTAAAAATAATAATAGTCAGTAGAATAAAATAGTTTTTCTGATCATCATTTATAGTAATTATTGCTCTGATTACAAATACCAAACATTTTTTCTCAGTGTGTGTGTGTGTGAGTGTTTCTTTGACCGTATCTCGCAGGCTTTCTTTGCATGTCGCACGATCGATATCTTTCTTCCATTCTGCCAAAGGTTACTCAAGGTTTACAAGAAGATACACAAGTTCCTGGACGTACTCAAATATTTCTGCACGCAAGAGTGGACATTCACGAACGATCAGCTGCGCGCAATGATGAGCAAGCTCTCAACCAAGGATCGAGACAATTTCTACTGCGACATACAGGACGTCGACTGGAACGTTTATTTCGAGACGTATATCCAAGGGATCCGCGTGTACCTGATCAAGGACCCCCTGGAGACGCTGCCGCAGGCGCGCGCCAAATGGCAAAGGTAGGCTCGAGAGTCGATCGCTCGGGGAAACTTTCGGTTTTTTAGGCTAGCACGCGATACGACAACAGAGCGAGATAACAGTTTTAATATATCACATCCTGAAACCGATATTCGCATATTGAATGCCAAACTTCTAATCTTCGTGGAGTCGGATATTTTCGTTTCTGGGTTCCTTGCTTTTATAATTTACATGGAGGATAATTACATGCAGGAACGTTATCAAGGTTACGGCGAAACGAAGGCATGATGACGTGTGTTTGGAAATATTATTAGAATTAATACATTTCTTGTTTATTATTGTAAAAATATATATTTACATCAAGAAGCGTTTTGTGTTGAGAGTTTCCTTTTCAACGAACTAAGAGCCAAATTGCGGTGTCGCACGTATTTCTCCGTCGTATTTTTATATTTTTCACTTGCACACGCATTTATTAATGCGAATGCATATTCATGGCCATCCTTGAGTCTCGGTATTTTCTTCGACGTGTTACGAAAGTGTATTGCGCGTTCGATGCGTTCAACAGACGGATTCAAGATGCATTTATTCCTTGTCTATCATCGCGCCTTCAGCGTTCAGTTTTACGTCCGCAATATATTAATATAAAATCGATAATAGATTTTGTACCTTGAATGATAATAGATTTTGATAATAGATTTTGGACCTTGAATTTTTAATAAGGTAAATTTTCGCGCGAGGATGCCTCGAATGACCTCGAGTCACAAACGAGACAATTTATATTGCAGATTGTACTGGAGTCATCAGGTGCTGAAAGTCATACTGGCCTACTTCGTCATCAGGTTTTCGTGGGCTGCCGTTTCCCCGTTCCTCGTGTACTTGAACTACGTGTGATAGGAACGGGCAGAAGGAAAGGAGTAGGTAGATAGGGCCCGGGGCGAGCACGTTGTCCTGGGAAACGTGGGAATAGTCGGTGGAGGATGATCTTCTTCGAGTTGTGCAAAGTGAAGAGAAACGACAATGGATTCTCGAGACGGACAACACGGGAAAAGGAAGAACGGCGAAGAGGAAGAACGGTAGAGCGAATTCGAACGGGCCGTAACTTCGCATGCTCGCAGAGTTGCCGGATGCCTTACACGTGGCGCGGAGAGATTGCTTCTTTTTAAGTACACAGAGAGAGAGAGAGAGAGAGAGAGAGAGAGAGAGAGAGAGAGAGAGAGAGGTGGGCGAAATGCAAATGAGGACGGACAGGTAGCACTGAAACGGCAATAAAAACGCGCGGAAATTCGATCATACTGTTCTTGGCTTCGAGTTCAGTTCTCGCGAATGTGAACTGTGAGTGAGAACCACAAGTTACCTTGTTTCCAAAGTAGATTTTATAGATTGTTCCCGGAGAGGGAGAGGAGAAAAGAAAGATGGAGAGAAAGAGAATAGTTCAACTGATGTGCGTACGTGAAATATATCGGGTATTGTGCTACAATTAGCGACATTAGCGCGTAAATTAATCACAGGATCGACGGGGTTCTCCAGCGTTTATATTTCACGCGGTAATGGCGGCCTGTGGCTCCGTGGTATCGCGCTCTCACATAAAATTTCTCTCGAGAAGAATTTCTCTGACCTGTGATTACCCAACAGCTTCGGCAAAAGAAGAGAAAGGTGAGGAAAACTCGGCGGAGGTCGGTGGAAACGCGAAGAAAAGCGGCGCGAGCATAACGAGAACGGTCCCGATGGAAAGTGTGAAGTAATCCGCGGCGTAATAAATCGAAACGTCGAGAATCGAAGAGCGCGAGCTTCAAAACCACCTCCCCGCAGCTGCGAACAAGAGGAGAGGAGGGAAATTACTGTTGGCCGGCTCGTTCGAGCCGAATGCCTTGCCTCAGAGTGAAATTCACTCGAGGAGACGCTCGTGACATTGAGTTCTCATTCCGCGCGACGGCCCATTGATCTCGATACTCGACGCGGCATCGAGATCGCGGAGTAAAAGCAATCTCGGCTGATCCGAGAGAGTTTACCGGAACGGGTCGTACCGGCGAGAGAGGCGAGAAAGTGAGAGCGCCGATGAACGAGCCGTTAATTTACGCAACTTCGACCGAGCCCGCGGTCACGCTTTTGCCTCTGTCGTTAACGTACTTATTTCACGAATCAGCATTTCGCGCAACGGCTGTTTCACGGGAGGAGAGAAAGGGGAGAAGAAATGCTTTAACGAGTTGTCCCGCGAATAAGAAGGAAGAAAGACAGAAAGAGAGAGAGAGAGAGAGAGAGAGAGAGAGAGAGAGAGAGAGAGAGAGAGGAAAAAGAAGAAAAAAGAACAAGAGCGAGAGAACATACTCTTAATTTATATTAAATAATCGCACCTTGTTTTTACCGTTAGCTATACACACGTAACACGAGCGAACCAAAGGGCTCTCAGGTACTGGGAGAAAGCACATATCTCATTGACGCACACACACTCACGCTCACTCACTGTAGTGTAACACACATGCGACGAATACATCACACATACACACACTTACACACAGAGTTAAACGATACGCACGTACGTCATAGTCTCTTATATGACGATGTTCGGGTATATGTATGGTGATGCGTGGTGAATCAAAACGCAATAATTATGTGTGAGCATTTATTCACTCGTCGCGGACGAACGTTAGGCCGGTTAGATGTAGACTTCGCTGAGGACTGACGCCTCGGTGTCTCTCTCTCTCTTTTATTTGTATTATATAAGTCACATATGTATGTGTGTGTGTATGTGTGTGTGTACATATGACGTGATTAATATCAATGAGAGATTCAATATCAAGTCTCGCGATTCGGAAAGAACTTCGGAAAGAAAGTGGCGCGGGAATGCGAAGTGGACCGGAAATGCAATTCCACCGAGAGACATCACCTATCCCCTGGCCTTGCCGCCGAAAAATGCAAGCGTCAGAAGTGAAGAAGTGCGATGCACAATTTTTGTCGCTGGAATGCACGCGAAATTACGTCATTGAACGTATACGCGAGTGCAATCGGGTGTTTGTACGGCCGCCTTCCTGCGCGCTACGTCGAGTTGTACTTAAGTTGAGATGCGTCGCGTTCACGTTTTAATTCGAGAGATCGACTTAATACTTTCCAGAACTCGCGTTCCGAACAAACAAAAGACCGCACTCCGAGTCGGAATTGCAAAAAAAAATCGCTGGCCCATGAGGGGATCGAACCCGCGACCTTCGCGTTATTAGCACGACGCTCTAACCAACTGAGCTAATGGGCCGCCTACTAGCTAGTGCTGCATTACTGTTGTTCACTGTGGGGTTTGCTGTCTGACAAAGATAAAAGAAACGATTGTCGTTCACAGGAACATCCTCGCCCGTTCGTGTTCCGCAAATCTAACTTGAAGCGAGACGCAAGAACTAACGGAATCGTCTCTCTCGCATTATCCTCATTTTCACTCACGCGCATCTTTCGACATGTTAATATACTTTTCCTTCCTCATTTTTTTAAGTAAAGTTTCTTTTAAATAATTTTCGACTAAAAGATAATCCTGGATACAAAGCCGACGAAACGGACAGGCGAATACCGGAGGCATCGTGCGTGAAAATAATAATTTCAGTTCGAATGATTGAAATCCGATCGAAAAACTCGCTGACGAGAAATAATACTCCGTTACTGCAAACAAAAACACTCGCTCGAACACTCAGCAGCATTAAAAGTCGGTCGAGATAATCGAGAGCGATTGGCTGAGCAGAAACCTCTCTCCTGCAGGAATCTCTCTGTTCCCATAACCGAGTTTCTCACCTGGTCCCCGAATAACAGAATTCAGTTACATTAACGAAGTTTTTTTGCGCGCACGCGCGCATGTGTGTGTGTGTATGAATGTGTATAGTCGTTACTATTACAAATATACTTTATCTTTTACACTTTTATTACAGTAATAAGTTCATCTAAGATTTTGTAAAATAAATATATAGTTGTGTATGTATGTGTGTGTGTGTGTGTGTGTATGAGTATGTATGTATATACGAGTGTGATATTGTCGTCGTATAAATAAATAACGAATAAACTGTAGATAAGAGAATGTTAGTGTTAAAAAATAACCGCTCGGTGACCTTGGGTAAATTTTTATGTGTGTCACAAACGCACTCATCGAAGGAGAATGAGCGAATAATGCTGACGCGACCGTTCGTTGGTGACTAAATTTACGACATCACGTCGTTGTGTTGACGCGCAAGATTAAGTTGTTTCACATTCGATCGTACTTAATACGTTGATTAAAGATCGATTATGAAATGTGATTAGAATTTATGCAATATAAGAAATAAATGATAAACAGATTACGGATTACAGATAAATGATTACAGATTATGTGTGTGTATGTGTGGACTATAATCACATTTAATTGCACTTATTAGGCATTATAGGCATTATTTTATTTAAACGAGAAACTTATATTTTTAAATACCCTTATAGAAATATCATACTAAGAATCATTGATAATTACTTATTTTCAGTATTAAAAATACTGGATAATAAGTAATTATCAATAATAGTATGATATTTCTATAAGGGTAGTTCAAAAAGTATTTTACAAGTCAAAGTCTCTAAAGATTCCAAACATATTTATAAATATAAAATTTACTTTTTACGATTGTACGCGACTATAAATCGAGATTTATTAAGTTTCAAAATTTGTATGAAGTTTGAATTAATGAATGAAGTTATATGGCGCGTAAATGAAACTTCACACGCAAATATGATTGACATCATTTGAAGCCATCTTTAAATCTTTAACTGGTATACACCCGAATCGTAAAGCAATTTTTTTATTGAGTCATTCAATATTGAAATAAAAATCGTTCTTCCAATCACTTGCAAAATAGGAATTGCAACGTTTTTATCAAGAAATAACAAATTATTATGTCGTGTCCTAACTCTGGAGCAACTCTACTGGTTCAGAAAAGTGGCGCCTCGTAGTGGAGGTTTTGTAACTAATTTGCAAAAATAACGGGTCTAAGAAGATGGCGTTCCTGGTTTCGACCCTTTATTTGCTCTTTAAACTCCAGCTCCTCATAACACAATCAAACAACTCGTCTGTTGACACATCAATGTCAACTGATTGAACGCGATTAAAAACGGAGAACGTAAGACAAACGCGAAGATGCTTCGCGGATACGAGGGTGTGAGGTATATCTCCGACAAGCAAATGGTAGTGTTCGACATCGGTAGCGCGTACACGAAGTGAGTTAGAAAAGTAACAATGTTTACAAGCTGTTTAACCTTCATCTTGGCAGAATTATATATTAAAAACTACGTTCTCGCGCGATTTAAATCAGGTTCGGTTATGCGGGAGAGACGTCCCCGCGTGGTATTATACGAACGGAGGTGAGATGCTCGGAATCCAAGAAGATTCGCAAAATCATCGATCACACTGACGTCGAGGACCTGTATCAGCTTCTCGTGGAATTCCTTCATCTATTGTTCTTCAAGTAAGAATGCATATCCTTGCATTCTCACTAGGCTGTCTGTTAGAACTTCATTTTTGAAAAGTTTCCTTTGATATAGGTATGTTGTGATAAGCCCCAAAGATGCAAGAATACTGATACTGGAGTCTCCACTGGCAGCGACACGATTCAGAGACACCTTGGCTAAAGTAATGTTTAGACACTTTGAAGTTGGCTCCATGTTATTTCTACCAAGTCATCTGGCGACAATTAGCACTCTTGGTATCGACACGGCTTTAGTATTAGATGTCGGCTACCAAGAAGCTACTTTGATTCCAATCTTTGAGGGAATACCAATACTTAAGGCATGGCAGGCATTGCCTTTGGGTGGACAAGTTGTGCATAAGTAAATTTTATACTTCTCTCTCTATATATATACATACATTTATATGATAATCTCGTACTCTAACTCTCATACTTTACAGCAACATAAAAAAGTACTTTAATGACACGTCAGCTGATCTGGATTTATCTGAAAAAATATTGGAAGATATCAAAGTACGAACATGTTTTGTAACTACATTTGAGAGATCTACAAAGTTAGAAACAGAAGATGCTCCCGCTGCACCTCCTGCAGTCAAGTATCCTGGTGTTACAAGCATCTTGGTGCCCGGAGAAATCAGGGAGAAAGCATTTGAAATACTCTGGGAGAGGGACAACGACAATCTCTCCTTGTCAACCATGATACTTGATGCCATTGTCAAGGTAAAGGCTTCTTTTATCGATAAATGTATTTTGAACTTTTATCGTTAAAAACGTCTTTAAGGCTCCTGGGGAGTCGCATCATCCATCTCTTTTTAATGACGTCAGAAGCGAGAAAACGCATGCTAAAAATTCCTGCAAAATACGTCGAGATAAACAGATATATCCACAAAACGACATTTGCGATCGATTAAGTACA